AGTGTAGACTTGGCAGATGCCCTGTTCTTTTCCAAAAAGGCTGTTTTTTTTTAACATTATTTCCATCTTTAAGGAACTTCCCCTACTATTATTATGAGATGAACTTCCGCGTTCCTCGAACGGATAGCACTCTGACCATCATCATGCTGGACACGGTGTTGATGTGTGGAAACTCTGATGACTTCCTTGACCAGCAGCCCCGAGCTCCCCGAAGTGGCATTCAGGCCAACAGACAGCTGCTGTGGCTTCAGGAACGTTTAGCAAAGTCTAAGGCTGATTATCTCCTGGTGGCTGGCCATTATCCGGTATGGTCCATATCAGAGCATGGGCCAACCGACTGTCTGCTGAAGAAATTGAGACCACTGCTTAAGAAGTACAAGGCTACTGCTTACCTGTGTGGCCATGATCACAATCTACAAGTAGGTCAAAGCCTTTTCATAAGGTTCAGTTTGGGTCAACTTTGTATTGACTTTTTTTTTTTTTTTTTTTTTTTTTTTTTCATTAGAAAACAAGTTATATATCAGCTTTTTCAGTGTTACCTCACAAAACTGAGACAGAAAAATAATAATAATGATAGACCTCAATAGACTTCCGTCTATTTTATATTTTTGTTGTTTGGCATGTTTAAAATGTCTGCATTACTCTCTTTGAGCAGTGCCACACAGCCCCTGCCAACAGAAGAGATTCTGGGTGAAGGTGGGTTCATGCCTTTCGGCTTCACAGGGGTCTTATCAGGGGCCGCTACCTGCTTTTATGCCTTTGTCGGGTTCGACTGTATCGCAACTACAGGTAACTAAAGACTCTAAACTCCAGTGCGCTCAAATCTCATGTTTAATCTTTAAAGGAGTCTGGTATCGGTTATGTGGTTAGTGGAGCTGGTAACTTTATGGATCCTGATGTGCGGCACCGAAACCAGGTTCCTCGAGGCTACCTCAAGTTCTTCAATGGTGATGCTGGCACCTTGGGTGGCTTTGCCCATGTGGAGGTTAACAAGAGAGAGATGACTGTTACTTTTATCCAGGCTAGAGGAACCTCTCTTTACAGGGCTGTTCTTAAAAAGCGTGATCTTTCCAGAGTGGATGAGTATGTTTGAGGTTCTTTATCCAGTTTTAATCTTTTAGCATTATGCTATGAATTGGATGTGCTCAAGATTAGAAAAATGCACTCTTTGAACTTAAAAGATTTTATAGATTAGTCTTTTAAATGGTTTATCCAATGTTTTGTATGTCTTGAGAACCTGTAAGTGTTTTAAAGTGATTATTAAATAACTCCTTTTAAACTATTTGAGTCTGCTTCTCTGTAGCTTGCAATTGGACTTTTTCTGCTTGTGTTGTCACAATTGACTGCTGTGGCACTATGTTGTCAACACTAATTTGGTTTTAATCTTTTCGTGCAACAGTCTCCTTGTGGCCATCATGAGTAGTGCTTTCTATGTTAAACTATGCCTTTTTCTCAGCCATAGTGCTTCTTGTTAATTAGTTGATTCATTTTGATATTACCCTTTCAGAAACTGATAAAAGGGTTAGTTCACCCAAAAATGAAAATTCTGTCACCCTCATGTTGTTCCAAACCCGTTTAAGACTTTTGTTCACATTCGGAACATAAATTAAAGGGGTCATATGATGCTGCTAAAAAGAACATTTATTTTGTGTAATGACATTTTAAGGTTCAAAAAACACATTTTCCACATACTGTACATTATTGTTTCTCCTCCATGCCCCGCCTTTCTGAAACGCGGCTTTTTTTT